TATATACACACACACATCAATTTCAAACAGATAGTATCGGTATCGGCTGATACTGCACAGCCAGGTATCGGGCCAAAAAAAGGAATCGGTGCAACACTAATAAGACACCTTGATAATCTGGGGGGCGTGGCCAAACACCAAACGTAACAACATCTTTATTTTGGTGATATTACATTTGAATACATGATCCAGGCTTAGAAAGAGGAACTTTGTGAAAGTTCAGTAATTAAAATAAAATAATGGCACAGAACCTATATGGGTGTAATTAAAAACCATCTGTTAAAAAACACGAAGAGAACTAATAGAAAACATCTAAATTATTATTTCACTGGAATTCTGGGATGTTTTTGCTCAGCAGGTCCAACACGACCCGCACGTCTACTGTAACCTGAGCCGCTCACTATGCTGCCTGTTTAGAACAAAAAGGAGTTTCTGCTCTGAAACAGAACCAGAACCAGAACCGGTCCTCTTACCATGAGCTCGTGCTCGGTTCGGTGGACTCCCAGCTTCTTCAGACCGATGGTCAGGTCGTTCACGCAGATCCCTCCGTCCCCGTTCACATCCAGGATCTGGAACAGAACCTTCAGGCGGTGCTCCTGCTCCGGACCTCCGCACATGTCACACGGATGGTCCACCATCTCCGAACCGGACCGAGAGTCCTGGGAGGAGGACTGCGGGTGGACAGAGGGAGGGGGCCCACACCCTCCACCCGGGTCCACGCCAGCGTGGGTCTCCGCGGACCGACACTGGCAGAACACACCGGCGAGGAGACGGGTCCCCTGCTGCTGAATCATAAATGTTCTGTTAAACCCGAACCGAACCAACAAAAGGAGGAAGAAAAAAGCGAACTGATGGACGGACTAACACCACGTCACATGTCCCTCCGTCTGCTCCCCAAAACAATACCGAATATTAGCTTCTAACACTGGAACTACAACCGTTCTTCTGAGGCGAATTTCCTAACCAGAACCACCGAGGATAACCTGTTCGGTTCTGCTCCGGTTCCAAGTTCGCCTCCTGAACGGATTGAATCCAATGAAAACGGTCCGTTAGTGGGATTATAATCCGAATTGTCAGTGTATCCAGTGTCCGACAGAGACGCTGAAGGGAGTTTTAACAGAGCGGATAATCCGCTGGCGGAGTGAAAAGAAAAAAACACGAAAATAATCAGAAACTAGTTCAAATTCTGTGTATTTTATAAATTAAAATGAGGTTTTTTACCGCTAAATGACTGCTGCTGACTGCGCCAAACCGGCTTCTGCTAGTCTCACCGTTTATCGCGAGATTACATCAAGCAGCCCGTGAGTTGAAGGTGGGAATTTCAGCTCCAGTCTGGGATCCGGATAATTTGACTCGGTTTAGTAATTCTTCGGGATAGCAGACGGTTCTTCTCCTAGTATATTTACG